TGTGATTGTAGATCGATCAGGAGGGTTTGACTCTGCCGGAAAGGACTCTGTATCTGGGGCAGGATGAAGACAGTGTGAAGGTGAAACGCCTCTCTTCATCTCTCCATATGCTCTTTTGTTCTGGACTCTGTCTGCCATCTGTCTCTCGCTGTGAGCTCACACGTCTCATCGATCGTGTCACAGCTGCTGATGATGTCACAGATGAGCTGGCGTCTCTTAATAATGAGGTCTCTCTCACACGCCGATGACATCAGATCTGTGCCAAGCCACGACATCCCACTGAGGGATCATTAAAAACGTGGATTAATCTCATAAAAAAACATGTCCAGATATCACAGATAATCACAACAGAATTTTTAAATGCAAAATATTAAGTGTTAATAGATAAGTAACAAATATAAAGTACAAATACAAAGGTTTACATAGTTGTTCGGAGTTTGCTTTTTTTTTTGGTATGTTTAACTCTTTAGTTAAAAACTTAAGGAATTAAGCCATAAAAACACGATTTATAATCGCTCCTTATGCATTTGATTATAAAAATGAAATGAATGTATAAAAAGATACTCAAAAGTTGTACTTTTAAAGTGTCTTTGGGCAAATAAAGTCATATATGCATGTATTTTTTTTTTGAGAAACAATAACAAACATTCCACAACACAAACAATTTACATGTATAACAGATACATAACAACCAGTTACAAGTAAAATTATATAAATGAACAAAAACAATTTAAAAATAATTTAAAAAATGTATTTAAAGTTTTACTTTTTGTGTATCTTTAACTCTTTAGTTAACAAAATAAAGTCATATATCTATTTTTTTTTAACCCGTAAAAGTTCTAGAGACAAAAACATAAGAAATGAATCAACTATAAAAAATAAATTAATAATAAACATTAAAACATGATTTAATATTTGCTCATTTTGCTTTTGTGTATGAAAATAAAAATAAACTAAAATATAAAATAGGTACTTTTCAAATATAAGCAAATAAAGTCATATATCTAGGGTTTTTTGTTATCAGTGCACTTAAGAGAGAAGGTAAATATAAGAAATTCAACCATTAAAACATGATTTGCAATTGCTCCTTTTTCTTTTGTGTATGACATTTACCAAATAAAATCAAAGATTTAGCATGAAATTAGTTTCATGTCAGATGTTTGTCCATTATAATCACGTCACAATGTTTTTTCTCAATGATATCAGATTCTGGCATCTTATAAAGCGCTGATGGAAAGATTGCTGAGCATGCTGGGAGCTCACAACGCCACGCTGAAATCTCGAGAGATTCTGGATCTGGAAACGAGGCTGGCAAACGTATGGATCGTGTGTGTGTGTGTGTGTGTGTGTGTGTGTGAGTGAGTGTGT